AAGAGTGAGGCGTTTTTCTTTCTGTTAGGAAACTTGTAATCTTTAAGACACTGAGCCTTAACTCTTTGACAGTATGACTTTGAATTCTAAATAAAAATATTTATAAATATATTAAGACCATAATAAAGAGCCAAGTGGTTAACGTGAAAGTTTGTGGCCAATTGTGTTACACCATTGAAGTTGAGGTGTGAAGGTAAGTTCTACAGTTTATTTTGCACTTCAGGTAAAATGTCTTGAGGGGTTATTGGTTGGTGCAATGGTAAAAACTGGAATTAACGTGATAACAGGTTCAAGTCTCAGTGCAGCCACTTTGCGCAATATAATAACAAAGATTAGGCTTGTCTCTAATTTTCTACTTCCATATCCCATATAGGTGGGACATATACTGGATAGTATACGTGGAATTGTTATAAAAGAATAAAAAGGTAAAATACAAAATAAATAGCAATATATGAACTTCTCTTACTGGGGCATATTAGCAAATTTAAGCTAAGTATATAGTAAAATTTAATATATCAAGGTTGTACATAAAAATAGAAAAATAATAATCCAATCACGAAATTTTGGAAATAGCAATATAAACATTATAACTTGCTCGTATGTATATATTTTTTTGATAAGTAAAATTGTATTAGAAAGCGTTCAAAAGGGGAACGCATCCCAAGAGCTAAACAAGAACCAAGAGCAAAAAAAGAAAGCCTAAGGATCCAAAGACCCCAAAAAGTCCAAAAACTCCTTAACGGAAGAACAATCTCTCCCCATGCCCCAACTAAAAAAAGAACAAATAATAGAATACTTAAGTGCCCCAATGGGTAACTCCTCCCCAACAAAGGATCTTCTATTGTGTTGTTTCCATAGACACCACCAAATGCAGAGGGGATTCACCATCCAGAATTCGCGAACTCGAGCCCCCACCCTTTGTCCCCTCCAAATATTGATAAGACCCCGTGAGGTCCGAGGTATATAGTTAACTTGCTTGTATATATATAAAGATGTATGTTCCAAATTAAGTGACAAAAGAGAAATGGTTGGTCATGTATCACATAGAGAGATGGTTAATCATTAAAGAGAACCAAAAAAGTTAAAAATTTAGACACGAGATGCATGCCTCATGAGTTGAGGTGCACAAAGTGCAACTTTGATTATGTCCTGGCTCATAAGGGGTAAGCCTAATGAGATTCCCACCCAAGTTTTAAAGGCTTATGGTGTTTTACTTATGTTGCCTTGTTTTGATGGGAGCCTTGAAGTGCCCCACAAGGGATTTATGATTTTAAGCCAAACTAAGGCATATGATGTTTCTTTTGTTTTTATACCATTTGAAACTTCTTTGCAAAAATTTAATGTGAATTTGATTCAAACTTTCATTATAGAAATCATAGTTGCACTTTTTGTTTGGTTCCTACAAGAAGGATCTTTTAGAATTTTAAATAGACCGTGATGGAGATGCGTACATGAGGAAGTATATATAGGACTCTTCAGAATCAAAAGAGTGATGAAAAATTCACAGTAAACAGTCTAGGAAATGTGACCTTTAGTGGTTTAAGTACTTCCTGCTTGTTGGATGGTGGATTTACGTATTAGCTACTGACAAGTGGGAGAGGAGGGTGGGGGGAGCTATTGAAGTTATATATAAATTAATTCCATTTTGTTAATGACCAATGGTTCCAGACAATTTTAAACCTTCGCCAATGGGATATTAGTTAGAATAAAAATGTACTCTCTGCGAATTCATGCTAACATCTTTGTTATCCTGTAGGTCTTTTTCTACTGACGTAACTGTCTTTTTCTACTGACATAACTATCTTTTCCACGCAGATCAGTGGGTCTACAATGCTAAACTTGTTCGTTGTTGACTTCAGATATGTGGGCTATTTTGATTCGCATATCATGAGAAGGTTTATAAGAACGTTAAAGCTTTACCTGCATTTTTATTCAATATTTGAGTCAACTCTAAACTCAAGGGTGCTGAATTTCTCCCCAGGTTGCTTGGATGTACTTTATAGCCTTTGCTGCTGTTGCTATTGGACTCGCTATTTATTCAGGGTAAGAAAATTTTTATACTTCACTATTGTTGTTATTGTTATTGTTATTATTCTTTTGAGGGGGAGTATTTTTCTTGGATTGTAGGTTGGACTTGAAATAAACTATGTATTAGAGAGCCACTCAAGCTCTGGCAAATTATTCAGCTTGTTCGACCTTGTTAAAATCTTTACAAGCCAAGCTCAAGGTTGGCTTTTGAATGAAAATGCTCAAGGACTTGGCCTCTTCTCGATCAGGCTTATGAACATAAGAGGATTTCTTGCATCTTGTAGGTGGTACCATTTTAAGATTTTTGCAGACCATGAAAAAACTTGAGTATGGGCAAACATGCTTGAACGAAGCTTTGATTGGTTGAGCTTGGTCTATAGGCAATATCAGATTTACATTCCACTATTTCCAAGCACTCTTGAATAGTCCAATACTTGGCTCGATTCATTCATACCCTTGACAAGATATCACTTTGACAATCCCAGATTAGCTTATTTTGCCTAACGGGTACAAAGTTCATATTGCTCACAAGTTCGGAAATCCTTTCCATCTTATTCTGTAGAAGAGTCGATGTTCTTGTTATGTGGGTCATATAACATTGTAATAAGTTTTGAAATGTAAAACTTTTGAATTAAAAAGAGTAAAAAAATTCATAAATCATCTTGTGAAGTATCTTGTTTTTTCTTAAACTGGTCGCCTGAAGGTTGACGGATATTTGGAAAAAATTCAGAGAGGTTTGCCATATATAGGAATCTTCCATCACATTGTCATTAGAGTTGGGCAGAGTTTCCTTGCTAAAGAAATGTATGTTTTGGAAAACGACCCATTGGAGCTTATTAGCCAGCTTTGTAGACAATAAAATTTCAGTTCAGCATGAGAACAAAAAGATAAAAAAAAAAAGACTACTATTATCTTCTCCATTATTGGGTGATCAAGTCATATTTTCAGGTTGTTATGTTATCAAAATTTAAAACCTTATTGCTGACAGCAGACTAATATTTGGCAACCTATGCTTCTTGTCTTACTTCAGGGGTGATAAAGAAGGGGATCGAAATCGTAGTGAGGTCACCAATGAAAAAGAAGAGCAAAGCAAGCATTTTGATGAAGAAGCTGCTTTGGGAAATCCAGATGAAAAAATTACAACTGGGAGCTCGAAAACTGGAGAAACTAGCGCGTGGAACGTCGCTTCCACCAAACAAAATGATACCGAAAATAAGAATGTTGGAAGAGGTGCATAGGGGAAGAAACTTTGAAACCGGATAAATTTTGTATGCATAGGAAAGGAACGTTGCATGGGATCAAGCACTCCATTGTGAAGGAAGTGGCTGATGTTGGTTCAGTCAGCATTAGCATGTCACAAGCATATTTGAATAATAAACAGTTTTGAAAAAGAAGGCAGTTTTAGATCTGCCATAAAGTGGCTGATGATTGCTTTTGTTTTGTTTCTATTTATTTGTTTATTTTTTGATGGATACTGTGAGACAGATATGGAACTTTGGTTAATAATCAATTCAATGTAAAAGAAAAACACATAGACATTAGGGTTCTAATCTATTTTAATTGTCTAAAATAAATCCGGAGTTACAATCATTTGGGAATTTTTAACTGCCTTCTCCAAATTACATAAATAATATAGCAGTAGAGTAGTAATAATCTATAGATTTGGGAATCTGATAGAACGGTGAAAGGTACACAATTGACTAAAAAATAAATTTTTTTTTTAATTTGAGAAACTCTTAAATGATATTTTTAAACTAACAATTACATTTTTTCAAACTTGCAACATTTTACCAAACATGTTTCTGATTACTATTAAAATTACTTTATAACAAAACAAGTGTCTTGTTTTGATTAAAACAAAATGCAAACAAAAGAGAACCTACACGTGTTTTGATTAAAACAAAAAGCAAACAAAAGAGAACCTACAAACCAAAATATAAGCTCATTTGCATTTTCATTAAAAATATATATATGTAATGTTTATATATGTAAGGAAAAATATAACTCTGTAACGTATTTATATATATGTAAGGAAATACGGAGCTGAAGGGGCAAAAGCCCAAACAGAACAGGGCACGGGCCTATACAAATCCTAAGAGCCCAAGCCCATTTTGTTGAAATTCTGTTGAGAAGAGTCACGGTAACAAAAATTCAAACAAGCCTCTTTTGAGGTTCTTCAGAACGGAAAGTTTCAGAACAGAGACTTCCATCTGTGATCACTCACAATCTCTTTAGCGAATGGGTAAATATCACCAAACTCAAATCCCATTAAATGAATAACAAAACTTAAACTTGATACAACAAAAAGAATTTTGTAGAAACAACATCTGTGATCACACACAATCTCATTACATAATAAGCATTTGACTGTGTGGAAACAATTATATTGAATTATATACATAAATCAGTAGAACCCTAAATTTGCAGATAAGATTTGAAATTGACCGGAATCGACAGCCGATTATTGCCCTTTTTAAGGTCGGTGGCGAACAACCCCTTCTGTATCACCAGGACTATACCGGAACCACCCATGTGTTGGATACGATTCCTCATGCGTGAAGGCAGTGGTGGTGGGTTCAGACCAATTTCTGCTTTCTTGGCATTTTTCTTGGAGTTTTTCTTGGTTTGATGATGATCAGAGCCTGCAAGAGTTTCCACGTTGGGCAGGTTCAGGAAGTGATTAATTGCCGGCTTCTTGAGAGATGGGGATCGTTTCCTCATCGGCCATGGCGGCGGTCAGAGCGAAGAGGAAAGGGGAGAAATACAGCAATTGTTATGAGAAAGAGAGAGAGAGAGAGAATAGGGCAACATATTAAGCCTTTAAAGGGGGCTCAACTTTCATAACTTGCAAAACAACTGAATCTCCAGATTACCATTTACAATTAGAAGCAACAAACTAATATAAAGCACAATTTACAAGTGATAGACAAATGACTACGACATAACCAGTAACTATACAAAGGTCATGTTAATTAATATAGCCAAAAGTTTTCTTGGAGTTGATCGATGTTGCCGACTGAAAGTGATGGCTCATCATCATTCATAAGAAATTCAGATAAAGCATTGAGTTGCTCATGCATTTCTGGATCAGTGTCCTCCAAAAACGAGTCTTCTGCTGCTATTGTATATGCATGAGTCTCATCATCATCATGTGGTAGCAGCGGCTGATTATTGGAGGTTGCAGTTGCATCTAAGTTGTCAAAAAATGAGTCTATCTGCTGCATATCACAAGAGTTGATTGTGATGTTGGACAGATCAAAGACTGTTGCAGTCTCATCATCATCATGTGTTGGCAGTGGCTGAATATCAAAGGGTGTATTGTTGGGTAGTTTCTGTGGAAGCAACTGATCAGGATGACTGTCCATTATTGTTACTGTGGACACAGATTGATCAATGTTTTGTGGAGTTGTAGAGACCTCACCATGATCATATCTCATCTTCTTACAACATCTAGGGTTTTTTTCTTTGGATACTTCATGAGCATGATGCTTTGGTGCTCTCTTGAGATATTTAGAATCATCTCTTTTGATTTTGCAAACTACATAATCATGAGTGCCTTCTTCTAACCCATTCAAACTCACACCGCCCAATGAATACTCGTGCATAGTCCAATGACCTTTTGGCATGATCAAGAACTCATCTTTCTTCACATCTACTTCAAAACTCAACATCTTGTTGAATCCAATAAGCTCTTTCTCTTTATTATAAATGTTCTTGATACCGGTTTGGCCATCCCATGTCCCACATCCGGCTCTCCGAACAATTCTCTTCTTTTCACGGTCAATTTTCTTCAATTGGGTGAAGACATAGATAACAAATTCATTGGATTTCAATGAATGCCATGTATCTTCAGCCGTAAATACATTCCAAGGTGCCTCGCCATAAACATCACGCTCCAAAATTACACCCTCGTAAGGCAACGATTCTTGCTTCAGTTTTCTTCTGAGAAAGTGTGTGAGGAGTTCTTCTTCTGTGGGGATAAACCGAAATCCTAGAGGCACAAACATATTTGTGCTAGATAAAAGAGGGCTGAGGCGGTGATAAGGATTAAGAAAAAGAGGGCAGAAACCCTGGAGGCTGAGGCGCTGCGCTGATAAAAGAGGCCGGAAAAGAGACGCGACGATGATGAAAAGAGGGCTGAGACGCGGCGATGATTGGTGAATAAAAATGGAAACAGAAGACGTGGGACACAATTAGCGAAGAAGAAGACGAAGAAGAGTAGCGCGATTGAGGGAGGCGGTAGGTTTTTGGAAAGTGGGTTGGGAAGAAGGAAATATATAGATGGAGGCGGCGGCTAGTAACTTGGAAGGAAAGTAAAACAGATATTGTAATCATTGAAAAAAATCTAAAAAGAGAGAGAGAGAGAGAGAGAGAGAGAGAGAGAGATCAAATATTTGATTACAATTATGAGTTGTGTTAAGAGAGAGAGAGAGAGATCAAACATTTGATTACAATTACGAGTTGTGTTAAGAGAGAGAGAGAGAGAGAGAGAGGGAATGTTTGGAAGGGTAATTACGAGTTGGGTAATTACGAGTTGGGTTGATGTCTGCAGATTTGGGTAATTAAATTGGGGTTATTAAGTAATGTGTAATACAAAGTAAGTTATGTAACCTGGAATAGACTTATTATACATATATCATCTATATATGGATAATCTTCTTGTTTTCTTCAATTTCAGTGATAAATACTCAACTGCCCAAGGAAATTAGCACCACTTTTATTGAACTCAAGCAAGAGCTTTGAATCTGATTCAACTAACAATTAATTGGTGGTCATCAAATCTAATATTAGTGTGTGAATTAATCCCATAAAAACTGGTTATTAAGTAATATTATTGTGAATTAATAATCCCATAAAATTTGGTAAACTTCCAATAAAAGAGCCATTACAACTTCTTGAAACTCCTCTTCCCACAACATAGATACAATGATTGTACTTAGAATTTGCAATGAAACATGTCCTTTTACACATTTAACTACTGAATCATACCAAATAATTAAACTTTGTTGAAAAAAGTAGTTGCTTTTTCTGCAGCAAATTAGACCAGTTGACAATGCATTATGGTAAAGATTCATACACTCTATACAGCAAATTATCTGGTCTAATCAAACATTCTCTGGTGAAAAAAGAAAAGAAAAAAAAAAAAAAAAAAATTCCTTAATGGAATTTAAGAACTTCATCAGTGCAGCAATGGAAAAAAGTGTCTGCCTTTCTGAGTTCCTTGTGTCGCAAATCTTCTTTGCTACCAGAGGAGAATAAGGAAAAGCTGCAGTACTCATTCAAGGATTTGATTGATTGTCCAGTTGCTAAGAAATGTACACATCCAGAATTCAGGTAAGGCTAGCAGCCCCCGTTCGAGTCAAGAGGTTGTGAGTGTTTTGTGGGCGTCTCATGATGCAACGGATAAAGGCATGAGTTCTTGCTGAGACCACCACCATTATAAACTAATTAATTTTGAAATTAATTTGTTAAACCATAGTTAAAAATAGATCTCAATTGACAACATAAAAGATGCAGTTCTTAGGAATCTTGGTGGAGCTTTATCATGGATGAAATCTATGGCTGAAGCCTCCTACAACTTTGTGCGAAAAAAAGATAAGTGAAGAAATACAATCTGAATACAGTCTATCTGCAACTTATTTGATATAATCAAACAAGTTCTAATGGAATTTAAGAACTTTATGGGCACAGCAATGGAAAAGTGTGACATTCTGAGTTCCTTGTGTTGCATATATTCTTCACTTCTGGAGGACAAAAAGGAGAAGCTGCAGTACGTACTCATTCAAGAGTTTGCTTGATTGTCCACTTGAAGAGGTTTGGGAATTGTTAAGTGACATGAATTTTTTTTCACAGTGTTATGAAATGGTAGCTGATCTAAAAGGGAGTGGAAAAGAAAATTTCATCTTGGTATACTCAAAGGTTGGCTTGAGTGTTTCTGAGGCCTATGTCAAAACGAATAAGCTATGATCAATTGCTGATATGAATGTTGTTTTCCTTAGTATGCTTTTAGATTTGGTTATTAATTATTGGTGTGCTACATCGTGTAAACTGGAATGAACTAACCAATTATACCAACAAAACTCATGTTACGTTACAACTTAAGCTGTTATACAATATAAGAATGGATACACAACCTTAAGTATACACAATACAAGAAACCCTAGTTTACACTTCTCTGCAATCAATAGGATAGAACCGTCAAATCACAATGCAGCTTCACTTGATGAACAAACTTGGTTTCCAAAGCCTTGTCACAGCCAAATACACTTGCTTGAATGGAGTACACAGTTAGATAAGCAAGGTAACTCATGAACAGCTCCCAATAGGCTTAAACCCTGTTAGCATATATGATACCACGATTTATGGTATGACTTACCACAATAGCAGAGCTTTAAGGGTAAAAGGTTCACTTCACAACACAGCTCCAAGAATGATCTGCAATTGCCTTCCACAGCTCTATATAGCTAAGATAAACTTGCTTAAGAGATAAACTCAGTGAAACCAGCAAGATATAGCAATGTAAGAACACAACAGCCTTATAATCTTCAAAACCCTAGTTTTAGCCTCTCAAGGGTAAAACTGGAATTTCACCAGAACCTGAAGTTAAACTTGGTTTCTGAAGCCTTGATAACTCAATACATACTTGCTCAACAGGTTCAAATAGTGTATGGAGCAAGATAAAATAATCTCAGTTCACAATAGGCTTGAAACATATTAAACCCTTGCTTTCAAGCTCTTCAAGGGTAAATCTGTCAAAACACATGAAACATGTGCTAATACAGGTTCTCACGGATTCACACAATCATTTTAATCTTTCACAGATGATGTTCTCAATTAACTCAGCAAGGATGGAACAATGTACCATAAAACTATAACCAAAAATAGCTCTCAGCAGGTTATGTTTTGCAGCTCCTGTAAAGCCTCTGATCAGAGGGTATAAAAGTAATTCTGTGATGTCTCAGGCCTTAACAATGCTCTAATAATCTTGAATCATAATTATAAAAATGCTCAGATAATCATTATAACGATTCAAACATGATATCTAAGGCTTAGTTCACATATCACAGAGATTAGGCTTAAAACCCTAGTTTATGAGGTTCACTATACCAGAACTTGAATGGGTCACGTTCTTGGTAAAGTATCAACTTTATTAGCTTTAAATCAAAAATTTATTCATGCTTATATGGTGTACATGATGTTCACAGCATGAATTCAACATGTTATACATATTTCAGTTGTATTTGCACCAGAAAAACACATTATACTGAGGTTAGAGACTTGTAAAACAAATGCAGCTAGGATATGAAGATAAACTTGATTTCTGCAAATGTAAATTGACGAAACAAACTTGCCTCAACCTTCACTTGGCACTATAAATGAAGCAAACCAGAGTTGCCCTTTCAATCCAGAATTCTGCACCAGAAAATCAGCTGCAACTGTCCCCTTCTTGATCTTCATATGAAGCACTCATGATAGATGATTTTTGGGATTAATTTTGGTTCTCTAGGTTAATTAAAATCCCAGCAATACTTGAGACCTTGAGCTTACAAGCTTGCACAGAAATGCTCTCAAGGGCTCACATTAAGCTCTCTGGCTGCTGTAGCTATGAAGACTATACAGCAGAACATACAAAGAGGCTTGATAGCTTGTTGTGTCTTTGTAGTGAGGTTTAGGTATTCAATATGTAGTGCAGCTCTAATTGGAGTTCAAGATATTTTCTCACAGCTTGATATCATCATATTAAACTTGCTTGCATCATCAAAACTCAATGCAATGCAAGTTAATAGCACAGATTAGTTCAACGACAGGTTTCAGCAAAACTTCTGCAGAATCATCTTATACATTCTGTATACTCTGTGACAGAAGGGCATCTTGGTAAATTTGCTTGAGACAGGGCCTTCTCGTGATTCTTATAAACTTGTTTCAACAAAGTAAGCTTGCATAGTTTATGATTAGCCCACACAACACAAGTTATACACAGAAGTCTCTCAGGTTAGACTAATTTCTGCTGAAACCCTAGCTTAAACAAGGTTGACATCTCCAAAACCTCTTGATCAATTTTCAGTGACCTCCCTTGTGAATGAATAGCCTTAAATTAACTTCATGATGATGTTCACAAGAAATCCACTCAAGCTCTGGCAAATTATTCAGCTTGTTCGAACTTGTTACAATCTTTACAAGCCAAGCTCAAGGTTGGCTTTTGAATGAAAATGCTTAAGGACTTGGCCTCTTCTTATTCAGGCTTATGAACATAAGAGGATTTCTTGCATCTTGTAGTTGGTACCATTTTAAGATATTTGCAGACCATGAAAAAACTTTAGTATGGGCAAACATGCTTGAACGAAGCTTTGATTGGTAGAGCTTGGTCTATAGGGAATATCAGATTTACATTCCGCTATTTCCAAGGACTCTTGAATAGTCCAATACTTGGCTCGATTCATTCGTACCCTTGACAAGATATCACTTTGACAATCCCAGATTAGCTTATTTTGCCTAACTGGTACAAAGTTCATATTGCTCACAAGTTTGGACATCCTTTCCATCTTATTATGTAGAAGAGTTGATGTTCTTGTTATGTGGGTCATATAACATTTGTAATAAAGTTTGAAATGTAAAACTTAAAAGATGAGAAATACCACGCCTTTGGCAGTCAATATGAGTTCACTCTACAAAACAAATATATTTCATGAGTGTTCTTCTATGGCGGCAAGAGTAAAAAATGGTGCCTAATTTCAAAGGTCAGCGAATTGGTGGAATATATCTCCTATTCAGCAATTTTTTACACCCGAAGACTCTTTGAATTCTCAAAATTCCTATGATAAGCAAATTTGGGCTTTTTCAAGTGATGGATGTTTCAAGGTGAAATCAGCTTACCAAGTAGCTTTAACAATGGTTCAGCATAGTAACAGCTCTTTTGTTAAGGCTACAGTTATAACATATTAGAGCTTAAAAAAAAGGAAAATTGAAAACTGACATTGCTAACAACCTCCGATCATAAATATATATACCTGCCCTCTTGGTACAGAAGTCCTTAATTCCAGTGATTACAAGTACAAAAGGTCTAAACACACCATTTTAGACAAGACTAGATTTATGTAAAAGAATGTTTTATACCATGAATGTTGAAGCAAAGGAAATATTTACAATATGTGTTCAATTTGGGACAATTAATCATCTTAAAAAGCAAAATTACAAAAACACCAAGGTGCCTTATAATGTTCATCTGATTGATTCAGTAGCAGCCTCGCTTTGAACAGTAACAGGACAAATCCATACAAACTTGCACTTTGCCAGCCTCATCTTCGATCTGTTGGCCCTCTGCAGGAAGAGGGGTAGA